TTTTTTATTTCCTGGCTGCTGGTGCCAAGAGTGTTGACTGTGGAGCTGAGCAAAGTGAAGCTGTGAACAATCTCAATCTCTTCGCCATCCATCCTAATGCTACTGATTGGTCCAGTGGTGAGAATCTTTGTCTTCTTGATATTGAGCCTCAGTCCATACTGAAGGCTGCAGTCCTTTACCCTCTGCAGCAAGTGCATGAGGTCCTCCTCAGTTTCAGCAAGCAGGGTTGTATCATCTGCATAACGCAGATTATTAATAGATCTTCCACCAATAGGTATGGAGAAAAGAATTACCTTACACCTAATGTAATAAATTGTATTACATCTAATGTAATTTTTCTCTTCTGTAATGTAATTACCTTCCATAATGCATAATGGATTAATCAATTGAAGTCATAGTATAGGGTAGATCTCAATTGAAAGTTCTCAGTTATTATGAGAAGCACCGTATTATTAGGAGCACTATACTCTTTCACAGAGAGAAAAAGACCTATAGAGGGAGATGAGAAATACAGACATTGGCTACAGAAGCACCTATAGGATTGCCGGCGAACACTAAAAGCTGAAACAGTTAAGGAATGATTTTTTTTCTTAGATTGATACTCTGAATTTGGACTCTAAGCTTCCTACACTGTGACAAACACAAATGTCTGTTCTTTTAAAATCTCCCACTTGTGGAATTTGTGTTACAAAATCACTGTGAAACAAAGACAAGCTCTGAGTAAACACAGAGTTCATTTAGATGTGTCAACAGAGGCCAGATACAGAACAGAGAGGTGGCGTAGGCACCTGTCTAACAGCAGGGCACTTCTCACTCTGTGTTTGTTTTACATGTCTGCAAAACAAATTGCCACAGACTTAGCATCTTAAAACCATCTCCACTGATTATCTCATAGTTCTGTATGTCAGAAGTCTAGATGGATAACTCAGTTCTCTGCTTTGGTTCTCACAAGCCTGAAATCAAGGTGTCCAAAGAGCTGCATTCCTATTTAGAAGTTCTGGGAAAAGTCCACTTCCAAGCTTATCTGGTCATTCAAAGATTAGATGTTAATTGACTCTTAACATCTTAGCCTGAAGCAAGAATCTCCAGTCTTTCCCCCACATCACACCTTCTGGGTCTAAGACTTGTTGTTGTTCTTAGATGCTGTTTAATTCGTTCTGACTTATCTGTTGTTATTGTGTGCCGCTGAGTCAGAACTGACATGTAACTGACCCTCCAGCTGGTTTTCAGAGGCAGTTAATTGCATAGGAGGAGCTTGTCCATCTTCATTCCATGTGGCATCTGGTAGATTTGAACTGCATACCCTTGGCTTGTCAGTGCAACTCTTTACCACTAGGCTGTCACATCACATAAACAAAACAAAACTCGGCCCAGTTCTGCACAATCGCACAGTCATGGCTATGTTTAAGCCCATTGTGTCAGTCCATGTATCTGAGGGTCATCTTGATTTTTATCAACATTTTACTTCACCAATCGAGATGTCCTCCAGAGACTAGGCCATCCTGATAAACACATCCAAAGTACAGAACTCACAATCTCACTGCACCGTCTTTGCTTTTAAGGAGTGTTCTGACTGCACTGACTTCTCTGGCAGATTGATTTGTCCTTCTGGCATTCCATGGTATATTTCATACTCTTTGTCAGCAAAATAATTCAAATACCTCTTCTTCTTCAGTCTCCCTGATTTGTTTTCCAGGTTTTACGTGCTTATGAGGCAATTGGAAATACCATGGTTGGGTCAGACACATCTTAGTCCTCCAATTTATTTCTTTACTTGTCAACAATTTAAAAAGTTCTTTTTCGATAGATTCGCCAACTGTAGTATGTCTCTGGATTTGCCGATCTTCACCCAGTAAGTCCACTCTTTGGAAACCTTCTTTGCCTTCTCCTAGAGCCATGTCCAGAAAAACACGACCCCGTGTGGTGGCCCACTGACAGATGTGTGACATAGTCGTGTGCTCTGGCTTCTGCAGCTGCCTGGGTGTCTGCTCAGAAGATCACAGCTGTGTTTCATGATTTATTCCAGAATCAGGGAGCCATGAGCATGAGGTCCCTGCTGAGGGCCCTAGTGACCATGCCCTCTCACTACCGCTGCCTGTGTATCAGCCACCTCATTGGATGGACTGCCTTCTTGTCCAACATGCTCTTCTTCACGGACTTCATGGGCCAGGTAACAGGCACGCTGTGCACACATTCAATCAGCATCTCTCAAGCTTCTTCTGGACCAGCTTCTAGGATGGACAGAGTAGGGATGTAGGAAAGCATTTCTCTAAACAGTTCCCTGACAAACAGATTCTGGAAGCAAAATTACATCACCTGGGATACTTAGAGGGTATGATGGGCCTACCAGGACTTGACCAAATACAACAAACAGGTGAAAGTCCATGTGAACTGTAGCAGTCACGATAGGCATGGGTCTTGAAGGGTGGGCAGAAGTTGGAACAATAGAGGAAATGAAGATGGTTTTGCAAATAGGAATATAAATAGCACGTGTGGAGATGAGTCAGAGGCCTGCTGGCTGTAATAGAAGATACACAGCGGGGTTGCCTAAGTCAGGAAGGGCCAGGTGTTAGATGGAAAGAGGGGGAAAGAGACAAGGAAATCTTGGTTAGGTATGATGCAGAAGGAAGTATGTCTTTCTGGGAGCTCCCAAAACTCTGTGACAGGACAGGAAAAGTCACTTGATTATGGCAGAATGAGCTCTGCACCCCAGGGAGGGTCCATCAAGCTGCTCTCCTAACCCAGAGAAGCAGAGCAGGGGCGGAGGGATTCCATCCACATGCGCCTGTGACTCACCAGCCTCCCCTCTCTCTTTCAGATTGTGTACGGTGGCAATCCCTACAGTGCACACAACTCCACAGAGTTTCAAATCTACCAAAGAGGCGTGGAGGCTGGGTGTTGGGGCTTATGCATCAATGCTGTGTTCTCTTCCATCTATTCTTGTAAGTCTCCTAATCCGAAAGATATCTGCTAAAGGGCTCAGGTCTGACTGAATCTCAGATCTTGTATTTTCTCTATTGGCCTAGTCTGTGGGACATTGCACTGGTAACAAAAAAAGGCTGCGTCTCTGGTGGCTCCAATCCACCTCAGCTCTATTGGAGAAAGATGGGCAGTCTCTTCCCTCGTGATGATTCGCAGCCTCTGAAGCCTGATGGTGGGTTGCTAGGGATCAGAACCAACCTGATGATTATGAGTTGGACGCTTGAGTTATACTTTTTAAGGCAGAATGTTCTTGAGAAGTAGGTGGAGACTAGAGGAAAGTATTTCTTTACAAAAGGACACAGGAAATCTGTTTTCCTTCTACAGTCTTTATAGGGAATGCGAGGTCTCTGTGATTATTTTCTTCTGGGAATCAAAGGATTTCTGATCAAGGTTCTCTGGAAATGGAAAATATGTTTTGTTGTGGGTTTTTTTTTAGAGGGTAGTAAAATGTAATGGTGAACAAAAAGTGAGGGACAGATTCCAGCAGCAAATAAAAGTAGGTCCATATACTAGTGGAGGCCAATAATGGAGGTTTTGTCTTTTTTTTTTTTTTTTAAACAGTGGAGTTTTACAGAGAAATTTACAGATTTACAGATGATACAAAAATAGGAGGAATTGTTAAAAGGGCAGTTGACAGAATCAGCACATAAAATAATCTTTAGCAATACTTGGAACACACCCCTTTTTTATGTCCAGGATAATCATTCAGAGCTGGTGTTAGATGCAGCCATTTTCTTCAGTCCCTGGGACTGCACAGTCACTTTTTGACTAGCAGTGGGTCTCAGACCCATCAGAGGACAAGTCAAACTTGACCCTTAAATTTAGGAATTTTTATTCATGAAAGGGCTGTTCTTTGCCAGACTTTCAGCTTTTGTACTGAAGTTACTTGCGTTTCTAAGTATCTCTTCAAATAGCTGCCTTGCCTTCTCCTTCACTGCCCCTCACACTTGGGCAAGAGAATTTCTCTAATGAAGTTTATAGTTATCTTTTAGGTATTAAGACATAACATGATCATTTTCCTGCATGAATATAATCATTAAGCAAACAGAACTCAACCAAGCTTATCCTGTTTTCCTTCTCCGTCTTAAGGACAGCCCATCAGGTGTGATAGGAATTGAAGAGAGGAAGCACGGATGCCGGCTGGTCATTTCCAGAGCTCTGTCTTCTATCGGGATGACTTGAGGCAATGCTCAGTTTCATAATTGATTCAATACAATGCCTGATTTGTTTCCTGTAGACATGGTACAAATATAATAGTTATTTGGACATATGTGGACAATTTGGTTCTGGACGAGGGATTTCTTTTCTTCCTGGTTTTATCTATTCCAGAAAAATGAGACAGGAGAGATGTAGGGAATGCATAGATTCAGAGAAATAGGAGAGTAAGAATTTTCTAGGACCTGGGGTCATAAGAACATTTTTAAAAACATACTTATTAATTTATTTTTTCAAGTCAGCTCTGTCATACCACTTGTGGGCACCCAAATGTGCCTACTAAGAGGTGTATCAGGTTAAGGGTCAGCCATCTTCAACACAGCCTGCATTCATTTAATAGCAATATGGATAGAATGATGAGAGAGAGAGATGATAAATGATAGATAGATAGATAGATAGATAGATAGATAATTATGGATAAATAGATACATAGATACATAGGTAGATATTGTTTTGTTCCTTTGAGTTGGAACTGACTCATTGCTGACCATGCAGTGGACTTTCAGAGGCAGTAAATCAAGTGTGAGGAGATGGCCCATCTTTTTCCTTCAGAGCAACTGGTAGATTTGAACCTTGTGCTTTTGAGTTGCCAGTGTAGCTCCAGCAGAGCCACATTGCATAAATGAGTGGATGGATAGATAGATAGATAGATAGATAGATAGATAGATAGATAGATAGATAGATAAATAGATATAGATGATAGATAAAATGACAAATATACAGACAACTACCACTGTATCAATTCTGACACACAAAGATCTTAACTTACGATGGAACTAAACATTACTGAGTCCCACATGGTTCTTACAGTGGTCACCATGCGCATTGTCACAGCTATTGTGTCAACCTATCTATCTGAGTGCCCCCCTCAACACAATGTCGTCCTTCAGTTACTAATGCCTTGTAGTCATGTGTCCAAAACAAGCGAGTTGTACAATGTTTTGTTGTAATCCAAAGGCTTTATTGGCTAATTTGTAGAAGTAGAACACTGAATCTTTCCTTCTAGTCTGTCTTAGTCTGGAATCTTCCTCTGAAATATACTCCCCGAGGATGATCTGGCTGTTGTATTGGTAGCACAATGCTCAGCGTCATAACAATATTCATGGCACCATAGTAGGACAAACTGACTAATGGATGATGGGAAATAAGTGGAGCAGACTTAAAACACTTATTGATGAAGATCAGTGTAAATTACACTTCAAAACAAAGAAAAGAAAAAGCCTAACAAGTGGGCCAATAAGCCATATCATGATGAATGAAGAAAAGATTGAAGTTGGCAAGGTTTTATTTTAGTCCACAAATAATATCCATAGACGCATCAGTTGATAAATCAAGCAATATGTTACATTGGGCAAATCTATTAAAAGATGTTTTTAAAGTATTAAAAAGCATACATCTTCTTTTTTAATTTATTTTTCTTTTATTGTATTTTACATTGGTTTACTTACAAAGTTCGTATACATTGTGTTTCACACTATTTTTAATTCACATGGTGGTGTTTCATACAATCATTCCCATGCATTATGTTTTTTAAAATTTTTTTATTATTAATTTTGATAGACATTTACAGAGGTTTTAGATTTCCATTCATCCATTGAAGCACTTTTCTCCCTGCCCACCCATCCCCACTGGCTCGCTCCCCCCTCAGAAAAAAAAAAGAAAAAAAATATTCCTTCATTAGTATACAATTCCCACATCCCTTCCCCCCCCACCCTGAGTACACTTCTCTATGCAACCTTAAAAAAAAAAAAAAGCATACATCTGTCACAACTCTGATTTCTTTAGGGTGTATTCCCAGTAGTAGAATAACTTGATCAAATGGTACTTCTATTTTCAACATTTTGTAGAATTTCCAGACAGTACCATTTTATATTCCCACCAGCAGTAATTGAGAGTTCTGATCTCTCCACATCCCTGCCAACTTTCATTTCTCCTTTGCTGTCCCACTAAATTTTGTTATTGTTGCTGGAGTGAGATGATATCTCATTGTTATTTGATTCACATATCTCTAATAGCTAGTGATATAATATCATCAACAACCCTGTGTTATATAGATGACACAACCTTGCTCGTTAAAATTGAGAAAACTTGAAACGCTTGCTGCAGAAGGTCAAAGACTGCAGCCTTCTATATGGATGGCATCTCAATATCAAGAAAACAAAGATCCTCACCACTGGACCCATAGGAAGTATCATAACAGATGAAGTATATTCTGAGGTTGTTAATGATTTAAACTTGTATGGATCCACAGTCAACATTCTTGATGCAAGCAGTCAGAAAATCAAAAGACAAGCTGCACTGGGAAAATCTGCTGTCAAGGATCTCTCCACAGTGCACCAATGTCAGTCTAGAGGATAAAGTGCACCTAATCCAGACTGTAGTCTTCTCAGCTTCTTGCTATGCACCTGAAAGCTGGACAGTGAATACGGATGACAGAAGAAGAATCAACGTCTTTGAGTTGTGGTACTGGACAAGAGTTTTGGACATACCACGGATTGCCAAGAGAACAAATACATTTGTCCTGGAGAGAATGAAACTAGATTGTTCCTTGGAGACAAGGATTTTGAAGCTCCTTCTGACATACTTTGGGCATGTTGCCAAGAGAGACCAGTCTTTGGAGAAGGACATCATTCTTGAAGGATCAAGGGTCAGTGCAGAAGAGGAAGACCCTGGATGAGATGGATTGACACAGTTACTGTGAGAAAAGGGCCAGGTGTGTCAGAGATGGTGAAGTCGGCTCAGGACAGGCCAAGTTCAGAGCCATTGTTCATAGGGTCACTATGGGTTATAGTTGACTCAATGGCACAAAGCAATATAACAACAACAATAGCTAGTGATTTTGAGCATTTTCCCCCTATGTATTTGTTAATTATTTGCCTTTCTTCTCTTTCATATCTTTGTTCATCGTTTCCTTTTGATGCAATTGAATGCTCTATAAAGTTTAGATGTGAGACCCATGTCCTGTTTTTGCAGCATTATTCGCAATATAAAAGAGATGAAAGCAGCCTAAGGGCCCATCAAAAAATGAATATAGAGAGAAACTGTGGTACATCTACACAAAGGAATATTACACACCACTGAAAAGCTATGAACTAGTAATACACTATGCAACATGGGTGCATCTGGAAAACATTCTGCTGAATGAGAAATCTCAGTCATGAAAGAATAAACACTACATTGGATCCCTGTTTTAGCAATATGATGGATATGAAATGGGGGAAGCAGGAAAAGAATGGATCGATAATAAACACTGCAGTGAAATAGGTGAAGAGAAATGTAAACTGAAAGGAATGGATGATTAGACATTAAGTGTATGAAAACTGACAATCTGGAATAAGAAAAACATTACAAAGTGGATTAGAGGAGAGGGAGGGAGGAAAAACTGTATATGAAGATTGAATGAACACCAGTCTCTGTAAATTTTCATTAAAGTCACTATTTTAAACTTTTTTTAAAAAGTTTAAAAAGCATAAGTATCTTTAAAAATCAAAGACACTTTGAAAATTGAAGTACACTTTCCCAACCCATCATATTTTCGATAGCTTCAATATGAATTTGAAAGCTGGAAAATGAGTGAGGAAGATCAAAGAAGAACTGATTCACATGAGTAATAGTGTAAGTGAAGAATATTAAATAAATCAGGGAATGATGGGAAATAAAACACCACCCCAAATTTTAGACTAAACACTGCAAGAATATATCTTAGAAATAAGGATATCAAGCTTTGATCTGATCCACCTTGGACTTGTTATCAGAAAAGCTCAATCCCCAGAAGAGAGCGTGTTTGGTAAAGGACAGGGTCAGTGGGAAAGACTGAAGCCTTCAATGAGACCAACTGGTAAAATGACAGCAACAATGGCTGAAATATGGCAGCGAGAGTGAGGGCCATACAGAACCCAGCAGGGTTTCAGTGTGTTGCACGCAGAGTCACTCTGAGCTGGAACCATCTCCCTAACACCTAACAACACAACTTGTAACTGACTGTCTTCTTTATGCTGGGTCACATTCTGGGTGACTTCACAGATATTTCATCTCATTTGATCCTAATAGCAACCCCAAAGGGAGCACTTTTTCATTCCATTTTCTAGATAATGAAGCCAAGTTTCTAAGATGTTAAGCCACTTGTCCACAGAACAAAGGAACCAGTGATACAGGAGAAAATCGCCATGGAGGGAGCCTTTTACTGGCTTTGGAAGGGCCAACAAGTCAGGGACAAGTGTTGCCAGTAATTCAGCCCCTTTGTCTCCTTCTCTGCACTCAGATCATGACAGCTAAGTGAAACACATCACTTAGCTCATTCTGGAAAATCTGACCTTTGACATTTTCCCCAACTTGACTTTGATAGTACAGGTATGCTTCACTTTTCAAAAGTATATTCGATGCCATTTTGCTTTTATAGAAGGCCTATATTAGTCGCTCTTTTTGAAAAACCAAAAGAAATCCAAAGAAAATGTTTACTTTTACAGCGACAGGAAGAAAGATGAAGCCGATGTTTGGTGTAACCGACTCACATTGCTGACCCTTCAGTGGATTTTCAGAGGCTGTAAATCACACTGGAGATTTCCCAACCTGCAGACCAGCTGATAGATTCGAATCACTTGCCGTTGAAACAGCAATGTACCTCCTTACCACTGAGCCATCAGAGCTCTCTTGAAATACAACAGCCAGAGTCATAGCACCAAGCTCCTTCCTCAGGAACTACACCCAGCACCTCAACTCCAAGTCACCACAACTTTGACCTCTATCAGCGGACTCTGTATGCTGGTGATATTTAAGGTTCCGTGTGTTATTTGGCACGGGCAAGTGCATTACTTTTTCAAACTTGTCATAGAATGTCCAACAATTTTCCCATATCCATTCATGGCCAATTTCTTCATTTTACACCATTTCAGCTTGCAAAAGTCATCACCTAAATGCTTTGCTTTAGGGTAGCAGGAGAAACTTGGATTGATATCTTGGTCCTATTAGGCCAGAACGCTTTTCAATCAGGTAAAAATAAACAAAAGCAGCAAAATTCTTAGTTGCTAAAAAGTTGGCTTCACCTCATGATGACCCCATGCATTTCAGACTAGAAATGAATAGATCGCCAGGCCCTTTTTTCCCAAGGCTCTTCTGGATGGACCAGAACCTCCAACCTTTGAATTAGCAACCAGACATGCCATTAATGCTAAGTACCACTCAGAACTTCTTAATTGGCATGGCCCCCATGTTCCTCCCACCTCGTGTAGCTCCACAGGCATATGGCCAAGGCATGTGTTTCCACCTTGTCTTTTGCCTCCTTTTGTTCAGCTGCTTGTGTGTGAACAGTGCTTGGTCCTCCTCTGTGAAGACGACTATCAGCCAACCAAGGCAATTTCAAGCCTTTTTTTATGAAAAGGGCTTAAAGCTGATTCCAAAAGCCAGCTGTTTCCAGCACCAACAGGGAGGCACTTTTGTTGCTTATTCTGTATCAAAGAAGCCTCCTAATAAATTAGTATCTTCAAAGACAAGGATTGTCTGAAGTGGTTAAATACCAGGAGGCCCGTGCCAGCTGTGATTTCGCCCTCTCTTCTCTTCACAGACCTTCAGAAGTTGCTGCTTGCCTACATGGGACTGAAGGGGCTCTACTTCATGGGGTATCTGCTGTTTGGTCTGGGCACGGGCTTCATCGGGCTCTTCCCAAACGTCTACTCCACCCTGGTCCTGTGTATGATGTTCGGCGTCATGTCCAGCACCCTGTACACCGTGCCTTTCAATCTCATCGCCGAGTATCACCGTGAGGAAGAGGAGGAGATGGAGAAGGAGGTGAGCCTGTGGACCTCTGCTCTGGGTCACGGCTGGACTCACAGGAGGCAGGGAGAGGGGAGGAGATCTGGTGGGAAGTGTATAATGGAGCTGGAAAATAAGGCCACTTTATTAATGTAATAGTATTTCCAGCTGACTGTCACCATGGCATCTCTGGTGCTGTAGTCCTTGAGGGGTTGGGCAGATAACCCAAACATGGAACTTCTCTGGCCATTCAGATCCACCAGTGGTTCTATGGGAAAAGATGGGCAATCTCCTCCCATGCAGTTTACTGCCTCATACACGCAATGGGCTCTGGTGCGTCAGAAAGTCTGAAGTTGGCATGGAATAGGACAGGGTTCAGATCTGTTGTTCATAGGGTCCCAATGAGTCTTACTCAACTAGACAGCCACTAACAACAATAATGCCCCCAACAGAGGGTCAGCTATGAGTCAGTTCTGCCTTGATGGCAGTAAATTTGAGTTTTTTGAGTTTGATTGTCACCAAGGTCCGGGGAAGATGTGACCATCACCTCACCTTGACCTTTCTCCTTTTCTTACTTCACGCCTATTCCTTCAACTGGAGTTCTTGGGTGGTATACAAGATGATAATTTCAGCTACTAATGGAAAGGGTGTCAGTTTAAACCAACTCAGAGGCACCTTGGGAGAAAGGCCTGGCTTCTGAAAGTCACACTATTGAAAACTGTGTGGAGTACTTCACTGTGCCCATGGGGTTGCCATGAGTTGGAACTGACTGGATATCAACTACGTGGACTGTTTGGGCGTCTTTTGTGTACCTGCTGAATAGTAGGATATGAACAAATCCTCTAGTCATCTGATTAGGAAAAAGAGGGCATCTGTATGCACTAATGCGTAGATTGTTGTTGTTCTTATGTGCCATCAAGTCGCTTGCGACTCATTGCGACCCTATGTACAACAGCCCTAAACCCTGCTCTATCCTGTGCCAACCTCACCGTCTCTGACACACCTATTTCCACTACTCCAATCACTAAACCGACCCATCTCATCGAGGGTCTTCCTCTCTTTCATTGTCCCTCCACCCTCCCAAACATGATGTCCCTCTTCAAGGACCTATCTCTCCTTGCAACTTGCCCAAAGTATGTCAGACGAAGCTTCAGAATCTTTGCCTCCAAGGAGCAGCCTGGTTTTATCCTCTCTAGGATGAACCTCTGGTCTGCGGGGTCTGATGGCTGTCCTATGAGGTGCCCAACTTCAGCTAGTCAGAGCCTAGCCTCTCTTTTGACCTTTCTGCTGGAACGGATGTCGCGGGCTAGGAAAACAAACAGATTTGTCCTGGAAAGGGTTAAACCAGGTGGCTCCTTGGAGGCAAGGATTCTGAGGCTCCGTCTAACTTACTTTGGACATGTTGTGAGGAGAGACCGGTTCTTAGAGAGGGACATCATGCTTGGCAGGGTGGAGGGACAGTGCAGGAGAGGAAGGCCCTCTATGAGGTGGATTGATTCAGTGACTGGGATAATTGGGATGGGAGTGTCAGAGACAGTGCGATTGGCACAGGACAGAGCGGAGTTTAGGGTTCTTGTACATAGGGTCGCTATGAGTCGCAGGCGACTCGATGGTACATAACAACAACAACAACAGCAACAGGATGAACCTGTTTGTTCTCCTAGCAGTCCATGGTATATTCAATAATTTTCTCCAGCACCAAAGCTCAAAGGCATCAATTCTCTTTCTATAATCCCTGGTTACTGTCCAGCTCTCTGATGCATAGCATGCAATTGTGAAGACTATGGCCTGGATCAGGTGCACCTTAGTCTCCAACCTGACATTGTTGCTCTTTGTTACTTTGGAGAGATCCCTGAAAGCTGACTTTTCCAATGCAATTTGTCTCTTTATTTCCTGGCTGCTGGTACCAAGAATGTTGACTGTGGAGTCAAGCAAACTAAAACTGTTAACTATCTCAGTCTCTTCACCATCCATTCTAATGCTGCCAATTGGCCCAGTGTTGAGAATCTGTGTTTTCTTGAGGTTGCGCTTCAACCCATATTGAAGCTGCAGTTCTTGACCTTCTGCAGCAAGCGCTTCAAGTCCTTCTCAGTTTCAGCAAGTAGGGGTATGTCATCAGCATAACACGGACTGAAAAGGTATGGAGACAGAATACATCCCTGGCAGACAATCTTCCCAATTTTGAACCATGCATGTCTCTTTGCTCTGTTCTGACGATTCTCTCATAGATTAGGAAATGGTAAATGAGTCTTCTGACAACTTATCTATCAAAACAACACCCTTCACACACACTGCTGTAGAGTTGACTCTGACTTATAGAGATCCTACACAACTGAGAAGTGCCCCTCAGGTGTCCAAAGCTGTAATCTTTACAGAAACAGACTGCTCTCCTATAAAGTGCTTAGTTGACTTGAACCATTGAACTTTTGGTTAGCAAATGATTGCTTACTGCCTGTGTCACCAGGGCATCTCAGGCAATCTCCATCTCTTCCTTATGCACCTGCAGCTTTTCTAGGTTCTAAGAGTGAGATCCTCCCATCCCCATTCACAAGAGGGTGTGCTGTGGAGTAGCTTGCTGTTAGAGGTTGAGAAGCAAGCATGGCGAGACTCTATCCCAAGCACTTGGGGCATGTTATCAGGAGACACCAGTCTCTGGAGAAGGCTGTCATGCTTGGAAAGTGATGGGTGAGTGGAAAAAGAGGAAAACCCTCAGTGAGATGGCCTGAGGCAGTGGCTCGAGCAATGAGCTCCAAGATAGCAACACTGAGGTTGATGCAGGACTGGCTCATATTTCTTTTCTATGAACCAGAATTGACTTGATGTTGCCAAACAATAATATTGGGGAAGGGTTGAGAATTCTTGGCAATACCTTCTTGGAAATTCAGGCTACAGGAAGTCAGAGGTATGCATGCTAAAGAGGAAGCAGAGGGTAGAGTGGGGTGCATGGGTGGTCACCCCCACTGGACTACCCAGAGGGGGTCCTACTACCTCTTCTACATCTTAGAACTCTGGCTCCCAAGCAAGATCTTAATTGCTTTTCTAAGAACAAGGGAGGTGACGACTCCTGCTGTAAAATGACTCCCACCATGAAACATATTTTTTCCTTAAGAAAATAGGCATACAGTTCCTTCGCCAGCTCAGTGATATAAAAGCTGTAATGGTCACTCCCAGTTCAATCCCTCACAGTGTGAAGACTTCAGAGCATTGATGCATATCCAGTTTCGGGTGACGCCAGCCTTCTTTCTCTTCTATCGATTTGGTAAATAGAGCAAACAGGGATACATGCAGAGTGAAAGCATTTCAACCAGACTCGTGACTCTTCCCTCCCTGGCAATCTCAGTTGCTAATGTTTCAATGTACTGCACGCTTTTAGTCTATTAAAGAGGTAATTATCAAGGACTATGCCTCCAAGCATAGAGTTCCATAGTACTAGGGTTAAAAATGCATAAGTTTTGGACTCAGACAAACTTGAACTCAAATCATGCCTCCCACATTTCACATCTGTGCAACATCAGGCATGCAAACTCTAAAATGTCATTCACAAATTTTCTTTCCTTTTTAGAATACATTTAGGGAATGCATTAACATGAACCAATATTCCCAAATGGTGTAAAAAGTGTACATCAAGCTATAGCTCCCACTCCTCTTTGTTCATATATAGATAAATAGAGATCTCTCTGGTGGACCAATGGTAAGAAAGTGTCTTGTAATCCCAAAGGCTCATGGTTTGAATCCACTGGCTGCTCAATGGACCAAGGATGGGCAATCTCCTGTGTAATTAACTGAATCTGCAAACCTGCTGGAGAGTCAGCTATGGGTTGGTTTCAATTCAACATCATTCAAAAATAACAAATGGCCTCATGGGTAAGGAGTTGCACTGCCAACTCAAAGGCAGACAGTTAGAACCCCCTGGCAGCTCCCTGGGAGAACTACGTGCAATCTCTTTCCATGCTTGTTACACCTCCCCAAAACTCACTGGAGGGTCAACTATAATTTTGGTTTTATGCAATAAAAATGACCTTGAGATTAAAGTCTCCTAATATATCTGTGATTTAATATCCTTCTAAAAATATTTGAAATTCTGAGATCAAAGGAACAAAAGAAGTGAGTTATATATTGAATTCCTGCTATGCTGATTCTACTGATCTCAGTGGTTAAGTTCTTGACTGGTAACTGAAAGGACACAATCCTGCTGGCTGAAACTGAGGAGGACCTGAAGCACTTACTGCAGAAAGTCAAGGACTGCAGCCTTCAATACGAACTGAAGCTCAACATCAAGAAGACAAAGATTCTCACCCCTGGGCCAATTGGCAACATTATGGTTGATGGTGAAGAAGTTGAGATTTTAACAACTTCTGTTGGCTTGGCTTCAAAAATAACACTCTTGGTACCAGCAGCCAGGAAATTAAAAGATTAATTTCATTGGGAAAGTCTGTTGTTAGGGACATCTCCAGAGTACGCAAGAGCAACAATGTTAGTCTGGAGACTAAGGAGTGCCTAATCCAGGCCATAGTCTTCACAATTACTTGTTGTGCATCAGAAATCTGGACAGTGCCTAGGGATGATAGAAGGAGAATTGATGCCTTTGAGCTGTGGTGCAGAAGAAGAGTTTTGAATATATCATGGACTGCTAGGAGAACAAACAGGTTCATCCCAGTGAAATCAAGCTATGCCAAGCTATGCAGTGGCAAGGATTCTGAAGCTCTGTCTGACATACTTTGGGCATGTTGCAAGGAGGGACCAGCCCTTCGTAAGGGACACCATGCTTGGGAGGGTGTAGGGACAGCAAAGAGAAGAAGATCCTGGATGAGATGAATAGACTGGGGAAATGGGAGTAAATGTGTGTGTGTCAGAGACAGTTAACTTGTCTCGAAATAGAGCGGAGTTCAGAGCTGTTGTACATAGGGTCGCTATGAGTCATAAGTGACTCAATGGCACATAACAACAGCTGCTCCATGGGAGAAAGATCTATTGATCCACTCCTGTAGAGATTAGAGTCATCGAAATGCTATGAGGCAGTCCTGCTTTGTTCACCTGGGTTTACTGGGTCAGAATGGATAAGACTACACAACCGGGAGATAGCAGAAGGAGGTCCTTGTAATCCTCCTTTAGGAAGATAAAACCAAGAATGTGGAGAAGTTGGAGTCTATAGCATGTGAGGTCACCATGAGGAGGGATCCACTCAACAGCCATGAACTTCTTTGGGAATTTGATTATTATTGCTGTTGTTAGATGCTGCAGCTTAGGTATTGTTAGACTGCAGCTCGAAGCAAACCACCTTCTGAACGGTGAATCTGAACATTGCCCTCTCTTGCATCATCATGATGGTCTCTGTCATGCCCTCAGTAGTCGCTGTGCCAATCCATCTCTTTGAAGAGTTTCCTCTCTTTCGCTGACCTTCTACCTTTTCAAATATGTCTTTTTTAAAAAATACTTGCCCTTCCTGACAACATGCCCAAAGCAAGTAAGCTAAAGATTCATCTTCACCTCTAAGGATCACTCTGGTGATACTTCCTCCAAGCCAGGTCTGTCTGTTAAATCTGCTGGCCATCCATGAGGTATCCAGAGCAGGTATGCATTTGATTGTACTTGTTATCTTGTGACATTGAGTCAGAGCTGACCCACAGCTGACCCTCCAGTACGTTTTCAGAGGCCGTAAACCACATGGGAAGGGATTGTCCATCCATCTCCCACAGAATAGCTGGTGGATGTAAAGTCCTTACCACTAGGAGTTGACAGTGCAACTCCTTACCACTAGGCCACCAGAGCTCCCTATGTTTTTATTAAGGAGAGAAAAAAAGCTCAACTCTACTTACTACCATCTAATCAGTTCTGACTCATAGTGACCAGCCTATCATTTGCCTTGAGTGGAGACTAGGGATCTTTCTCATGCAGAACAGCTAGTGGATTAGAACTTCCAGAGACACATAGCCTTTAGATTAGCCGTGTAATGAGCAATGCCATTAGAATACCTTTTTAAAGACCTGTTTAACTCTCATGTGCTAATGGTGAAATTTATGATTTCGTGGCAAGTGTGAGAGATAGTTTCAGGCTGGAGGTTGGAGCTTCTTGATCAGGGTCAACACACTGGCTCCTGGGTCAAATACAACTAGAAATTATTTTTAAAAATATTAGATGGGTGAAAGAAAATGAAAAACTCTTCTATTCTTCCATAAATACCTAAAAGGCAAATTTCAATATCCATAGATAAAGCCAATTTGTTTATAAATTATCTGCAAACACTTTTGCACACAACAGCTCTGTGCAATTGGCAAGGCTACAACTCATCATGACCCTATGAACCACAGATCTGAACTTGACCCTGTCCTGCACCACCCTTGAAATCTCGAAGATGCTCAAGCGCCTTGGTACAGTAACCATGTTAATCCTCTTGTTGGGGATCTTTCTCTTTTCTGTGACCTTCTACCTTCCTCAGCTTTATGTTCTTTTCCAAAGACCGTTCTCTCCTCACCACATGCCCAAGATATGTGAGATGCTGTTGAACCATCCTTGCCTCTAAAACAGCGCTCTGGTTTCATTGTCTCCAAGATGTATTTTCTGTTTCTTTTGACATTTCATGGGATAATCACTGCTCTTTTCCAGCACCATAACTCAAAGGCATTGATTCTTCTCCTGTCATCTTTATTCATTGTCTGATTTTCACACAAACAGGAAGCAATTGGAAAGACTGTGACTTGCTTCAGGAGCAACTTAGTCAATAAACCACTTTGTTGCTTGACAGCACTTTAGAGCTATCCTTGACAGCAGATTTACCCAGTACAACACATCTTTTGATTTCTTGACTGTTGTCACCATCTGTGTTGATTGTGAACCCAAGTCAAAGGAAATAATTGGCAACTTCAATAATTTCTCTAGCACAATATTTTCAGTGATGAGGGTATTTGTTTTCTCAACATTAAGATACTTACTGAAAGGTACAGTTTTGATTTTCTGCAGCAAGAGTTTTAAGTCATTTTCACTTCTAGCAAGCAAGGTTGTATCATCTGCATGAGTGTCATTGAGGAGTCTTCCTCCACTCCTGATGCAGAGTAGAGTACTTTAACAGCAGAGGTGTTGATGTTGTGGTGTACTGTTGAGTTGCAACCCACTCATAGCTCACTCTCCAGTGAGTTTTCAGAAGCATTAAATGGCACAGAAGAAGAATGCCCCTATTTCTCCCTCAGAGCGGCTAGTGGATTAACACCGAGAACCTGTAGGTTGGCAGCAAATTCCTTATGACCAAGTCACCAGAACTGCCCAGAAAAACAGAGTACCTCAGTTTGTGATTTATGTGTTCAAGTTATCACAAACTGCATTTATGATTGTGTGTATGTGTTTTAAAATGTTTTTGCTCCATCTTATGGTTAACAGTATATTCTTGCTGACAGAGGCGGTTGAGAAGACAAGGACTCATAATGACTCAGTGAACCATAGCTCTCAACCTTGCTCTATGCTGCATCATGCTCATGACCTCCGTCATAACACCATATTATTAATCTGTGTAAACTTGGTTCTGAAATATATTCTGTAATGTCTCAAATTTCCAAAGACAAAGATCAGATTTATACAGATGCTGATGATAAAAGGCAATAATGATGGACATTAAAAAGAAAAACAAACAACAAACCAATAAGGTATTTATTTGACTGGTCAGAACCAACTCAACATGAAGTTGCTGAAACAGAGCCCCAACGCTACCTGGAACTACTTGTAGTTCTAACAGAGACCATATGACACAAAGCTAAACATCTTGGCTGACTCTTCACAGAACAAATGTGCCGACTCTTGCCCCAAATGTATGTTCCAATGCTGTTCCTGTGTTTCCCTTGCAGAAGCAGCAGACCACAAGCAAGGACCCAGCCAGCCAGGGGCGAGGAAAGGGTGTGGACTGCGCCACCCTCACATGCATGGTGCAGCTGGCTCAGATCCTGGTGGGAAGCGGCCTGGGCTTTCTGGTCAACACAGCTGGGAGTGTTGTGGTCGTGGTGATCACGGCTTCAGCGGTGGCTCTGATTGGCTGCTGTTTTGTGGCTCTCTTTGTGAGATACGTGGATTGAGTCAATAAAGAGAGACTGACCTTGACCTCAGGCACTGTGGAGCATAAGTCAATGAGGAAAGCAATCTTTGCCTCTCTGCATGGCTTCAATCTACCCCTGGGATGTCTTTCTGCCTGTTCTCAACTTTCAGCTGGCCCCCTGCAAAATAATCCCCATATTTTAGACATCGTTCAGAATTGACTCAATGGCAATTTGGGTGAGTTTTATCAATGCTTCTGCCACAGTAGCAAAGACTGTGTGTATTGACAGTATCCACATTCACCTTTCTCATTGCACTAGTGCAGCGTGTTGGAGGGAGGGTCTGTTTTCCATGTTGTTGTTGTTATGTGCCATCAAGTCATCTACAACTCATAGTGACCCTACAGATAGGCTCTGAACCCTGCCCTGTCCTGAGCCAGTCTCACTGATTCTGACACACATACCCCCATTGCCCCAGTCACTGTATCAATCCATCTCATCTGGGGGCTTCCTCTCCTGCACTGTCCCTCGACCCAACTGGGCATGATGTCCTTCTCCAAGGATCATTCCCTCTTGGCCACATGTCCAAAGTGTGTGAGAGAGAGCGTCAAAATCCTTGGTTTCACCTTCTCCAAGAAGGACCTATTTGTTCACTCTGTTGTCCATAGGACACAGATAAACCTGAAAACAAAACCAAAAAGACCTCCTTATTACTATGTAGTCAATTCTGACTCACAGACCCTTTAATGGCCCTATACGATTTCCAAGGCTGTAAAATCATCAACGGAAGCAGACTGTCTTATCTTTCACTTGAGGAGAAGCTGGTGAGTTCAAACAACCCATCTTTCAGTTTGTGGTCTAATGCTTTAATCACCGCACCACCAGAGCCTTTTTTTCAGGTCTGAGAAGCAGACCAGTTTAATTTATGTGCTTATATTTGTTCTATGACACTTGGTTGCAATGTAGAGTCTGTATATAGTCCAGGGGCTTAGATTCATCATCAAATTCACAGTAAATATTGCTGCTTTATTCAGTCCCCAACCAGTCTCTTTGCATATCTTCGCCTGTTGGGGAATTTATTGCTTGAAAACAGCTCATTTCATTGGCATTCAGTGGAGGTGTTTCCCTCCAGACTCTGCCCTTGTTCTAGCCCCTGGAGTCATTAGGGAAGTTTTTCAAAAACATCTTTCCCATTTGATCATCTATTTTCCAAGCTAAGCAGTTTCCCCCCAGCCATGGCCCTTCAAACTGCTTCTCTCTTTGGTGAGGTTTTTAGCAGCCTTAAGAAAGAGCTCAGCTTAAAGATGGAAAGGTCATGAAGTTAAAAGCTAGGCTGGTTCTATATACAGACTTCACCTTTCTCGTAAACAGCTGAACTGCTTGCAGCCTTGCTCCTCTATACCGGCAAGATAATAAGCCCCATCTCAGAGAGCTGACCGTTTGATCCATGCTTAACATCTAGTGTCTTGATTGCTAAAGGCTCATGATCCTGTGCGTTCATCCAATCTGCTCCAGTCCCTAAGTGTTGGCCGACGGTGCTCAGAATTTGGCCTGACTGGTACAGAAGGGAAATTGGCACACTTATTTTCATAGGTCAAATTGTGTACATGGTTCCTTCTCTGGATTTATCTTTTGAGTCTGATAGTGTAGTCAGAGCTGGTGTAGCCTCAGACGAATTTGTGTCTTAGTGGACCTTTGGTGCTGGATGGGAATTTGTAGAAATGAACTGAACTTCCTGGACAACTAGGGAGTTTGGTCATATTCTTGTTAACCTAGGGGGAGTTCTGGTTGGCTCATTGGGTAAAGAGTTGCATTGCCAACCCAAAGGCAGGCAGTTCAAATTCATCAGCTTCTCTGAGGGACTTGTTGTTGTTGTTTATTGCCTTTGAGTTGAGCACGAGTAATAGCGACCCTGTGAACAAAAGGCTTGAACTATCAACATTTATCAAAGTTCATAGGGTTTCCAGAGGCATGTTATTTAGGAAGTGGATGGTGATGGAAAATCTCTTTCTGTGCAATTTGCTGCTTCTGAAGATCATTGGAAGGCCAGCTATGAGTTGACTCTGACATGATGGCAATGAGTTGTATGTTTGGAGTTCTTGTTAATCTTAGGCCCAGTAGAATGAATGAGTGCATTAGAATGGCCAGGCCCTGCAGACCAGCTCTTTGGGAATGGTGTTTCTAGAGTGAGGAAGAATGCTCTAGTTCTTAAGAAGGCTCTGAATCTCCCTTCCTGAAAATGTGTATAAGGAAGATAGGTCCACTCTTAACCCTTACAGAGCCTAGGACCAGAGTGGGATGAGATCACAGTCCACAGTCCATCCCTCAACCTGCTGTGGCCTAATCTTAGCTCCTTTTAACACTGTCAAAGTTCTCGCTTGCACACTGCTGTGGGCTCCACAAACTCCATCCATGACTTCCTTACTGTCCCACCATTCACCACGCCTGCAGACACCACTCTTAGCCAACATTCAGACCTGTGTGCATAGATTAGGAGAGAATGGCCTCTGTGGATGGGTTTGGGAAAGGACTCACAAAGTCTGGCTGCATGGAGAATTCTGAGGTCCCAGGTAATCTTTAGAAAGAGACATAAGGCTAGAAAAAGTGGAGGGCTAAGAAAAGAGAAGGCAATCACCACAGTGGATTGACGGCACAGTGACTGCAACAGTGGGCAAACCAACCACAAATCAGAGATGGTGAGGATGGAGCCAGGGACGACAAAGTTCAGCCCTGTGGTTCTCGGGGTTGTAAGAGTCATAGTCAATAACGGAATCTAGAAGGTGGAGGAGCAGGATACAGGCTCCAGGCAGCCCTGTGATGCTTACCATGGGGAGGGAATGGTTGGAGAGGAAACGAATAGGGTCCTCTCATGAAACCCAGCCTTGACTGTTGGGGTTCCAGGGAAGTCCCCAAGACTACCAGGCTAAGGGCCAGGTACAGAGCAGGGACACTGTCTTCTGTGTTGCAGACTCTCTCTTTCTCCCAGTTTCTCCATTGATCTCAAAAGGAAGCTAGGTTCCTGCCCTCCCACACAAACTCTCTTTCTCCCCAAAGATAATATTGTATCACTAGCTCAGTAGTGATGGTCAGGCGATTAACTCCTCTGAAAACACACTGGAGGGTCAGCTGTGAGTTGTTTCCGACCTGACAGTACACAACAACAATAACAACAACAACAACAACCTGCTAGTGTGCCCAGGTTGCTGCTGCGATTCTCCTGATTGCCTCTTTTTTGTGTAGAGAGCCACCTCTCTGCTTGATTCTGTTATCAGGCAGTGACTGGGGCAATGCTAGCCATGTAGGGAAGGACACCCAGAGCACCTCTGCAGAGCTGGCTCCTGGTGTGTGGGAGAGGAGGCTCTGGGAGAGGGTTGAAGGGCACAGGGGTTTGTACTGGTCACTCCTTCCTGAATGCTGGCGGCTCTCGCCACCTACCGGGCAGACAGCCCCTTAATCAGCACCCAGTGCTCCAGGCCCCTGGCCTTAACTCAATCTGGCACTTTCCAAGGGAGCTCTGGTGACATAGTCCATAGAGAGATGAGCTGCTGACTCCAAGGTCATGCCTTGATTCAAGTCGACAAGAGACTCCTCAGAAAAAAGAAGGACCTTCTCTTCCCATATGATTTAGAGTCTCTTGTACCAGTTGGAGGTTCAGCTTTGAATTGGAATTGGCTCACTGGCTGTGTGTGTGTGTTTGAGAGACAGGGAGAGAGAGATGCCTTCTGGACCAAGCTGGGCTGATTTCTCCATGTGCACTGTGCTGTTGTTTCAGGACCTGTGAACCTCTAGCCTCACTCTCCTCCTCTCATTTCCTGTCCCTCTGTTAGTGTGTATTCATCTCAGATGAAACCATCTCATTCTTTTTGAAGAATACATTAAAAGTCCTCCTCTCTCCTTCTAGTCTTCCTTCCCTCCTCCCTCCACCATCCCCGAGAGGTGAAGTCATGGCTGAACATCTGCTCTTAACACCATAGAAATGTGAGCAAGTGCTCAGAATGAGAACAAAGAAAGGGGAGAAAGGGAGAGAGAGGAAGAGAGAGAAAGCACGCCAGTCCGAAGTAGCAAACAGGCCTTTAATAGTCAATCTGAGAAGGACTCCAAGTGACTGCACACACAGACGATAAACATGGCATGCAGGCAAAGACAGTTTCCTTTTATGGGTTTTTTTTTAAGGAGACTTAGAGAGGGTGGTAGTTTGCTGCAGAATTTGGGGGCAGGGGTCCTGTCAATGTGTGATCAGACCCAAGGCCTCATCAGGATCTGGTGTCTAGTCGCCTTATCAGGTGATAAGACTTTATTGGTTTCTTCAAGGAGTGATCAGTCCTGGGGGCAACTGTGATCAGGATCCCCTGTGATTCAGTACTTCTCATTATAAGAGAAATCTCGCTGACAAAGCCACCTCGCTTCTCTCACCTACCTGTTGTCAGTCTTTGTGAAGTTTAGAAATGGATACTTCTGCATAGTTCCATGGTTCTTTCCTGACCATTTGTCCCAAGACCACACTGGTATGTTCCTCTTATTTATGAAGAAATGGATGGATGGAGTGAATGGTGTCCCATAGCTGAGGCCATCTCACCTGGGCCCCCAAGAAGTAAAAGAAAGTCATCTTTAGTCAACCACATTGTTGAGGTTAGTTGCCATCGAGTCGAGTGCAAATCCTAGTAACCTTATGTACAACAGATCTGACCCCTGTCCTGTCCTGTTCTGTCCTCAAATCTCTGACACACTTGAGTCTGTTGCTGCAGTTACTGTGTTGATCCACCTGTTTGAGGGTCGTCTTCTTCAGATAGTTGAGGGTCAACCATATGGCATGGTCTTTATTACAAACAGAGTTTATTTCCCGTGGACTATTGGATAGGCTCTCTGGTGGCCTAGTGGCAAGAAGTTGTGCTGTAATCCCCAAGGCATGCAGTTCAAATCCACCAGCTACTCCACGGGAGAAGAATGAGCTGTCTCCTCCTGTGGGGTTAACTGCCTCTGAAAGCCCACGAGAGGGTCAGTTCTGGGCTGGTTCGCACTCAGTGACACACAACAACATTGGATAGGCAAACACAAGAGAGCTCCAGTTTATACGCTTTCTCTGACACACACATACACACTAACACTCAAATATGCAAATAAATGCTTTGCTCATTTAACTCAATTCCATCAAAGTCTGAATAAATGGATAAATCCAATTTAAAATGCATTTAACAACTCTTGGGAACTAGAGTCTTTGCTTCCAGTATACCAGTGATGTATTCTCTGGGGAAAGTGCCCCACTTTTGGATTAATAAAACAAGTGCAGGGACACAGAAATCCTTGATAGAAATCCTGTTAGACTCCAGGGACCTGGGCAGCGGGTCTGAGAGTGGAAGGTGCCCTATCAGCTTCTATCTCTACCAGCGATGTAGCTGACATTCCTATCTCAGTGTCCTAGGTCAGTTCCTCAGCTTCAGGTGCTGCAGCCCTCATTTCTGCCTTTCTTAATTGTAACCATTAAGAGCTCTAGTGGCAAGAAGTTGCACTGCAATCCCAAAGGCACCCAGTTAAAATCTATCAGCTGCTCCATGGAGTAGGATGAGCGGTCTCTTTCTGTGTGATTACCTCTGGAGGGTCAGCTATGAGTCAGTGTGACTCAATGGTACCCCACCTTCACAAAAAATTGTAACCGTATTTCTAGGGCCATCTCAGATACTATTTTGACCAAAAAAAGTCTGATCTCCCTGCTGAACCAGACTCGCCCATGGCTCCTGTTTTCCCGTGACACATTCCCAGCACCCTTATGCTGAGAGTCAACCTGTGTTTCCTGTATTTTGCTGCTTGTGTCAATGTCTGCCTTTCCTTCTAACAGAAGTCAGGGATGTATCTGATTCATCCATGGAGTTTCAGGCTCCAGTACAACGTCGGGTGTATGATAGCTATTCCAAAAGCAATGGCGGATTTTGACTGACTTGACCATTTTCTTGTTGGCCTTCTTTCCTCATCGATCTTCAAAAGCCAGGCCCCTTGCTCCCTCTGCTCTGTTCTCAGAGCCTTTAGGTTTGCTTGGAGATGAAGTGCCTCTTTTATAGAGTCCCCTCCCAAAAGCTTTGCTTCATGCTTGCCCCTCCCTGTTGTCTGCTTTTGTTGTTGTTGTTGTTGTTAGGTGCCATCGAGTATGACTCCTAGTAACCTGAATCCTGTCCGATCCTGTGCCACTCTCACCATCTCTGATACATGCGAGCCCATTGCTGCAGTCACCATGCCAATTACTCTATCTCATTGGGGATCTTCTTCTCTTTTGCTGACTCTCCACCATTGTGTTCTTGACAGGTGAACTCAAGTCAACTTAAACTCAACCATAGTTACCCTGTGTAACTGTGTGAGGAGACCCTGCCCAATCCCATATCATCTCCACAAGCATCGCTATGTTTGAACTCACGGTTACAGTCACTCTGTCAATCTACCTAAGGATTTTCTTTATTTCCGTCCCAGATTCTTTACTTCACCAAGCATAGTACCTTGCTCCAGAGACTGGCGTCTCCTTGTACAAGGCAAGCCTCACTATCTTCCCCCCCTAGTGTCTGTCAAATGGAAGCACATGCCTCAACATGCTTTCCTATGACTCCTGGAGCTGCTCACACATTATTTTATGGTTGAAATGGCAAGTTATTTTAATAAAGTAAAACCCTTAGTAAGAGTCTAATGCCAGCATGTTCTTTCTGGTGTTTACATTTCTATCTATTTTGTACTTCGGGCATGTAGGAGGTTTACATTTCGATCACTGTGGACTGGATTCTTATTTAATGTCAATACATGTCATTCCCAAAAGATAAAGATCGATTCAACCACTTCCAAACAGAAGCGCTATTCTATTTGCTAATAGAGTGACATTCTCCTGGATGTTCAGGATTGAGGAGGTCAGGCAGCCTTTGCTTTTGTGGCTGAGTGAGATTATTAAGTAGATATTTGATAATTTTAGTACGTTGTGTTACAGAAAGTGATGCAAAGAATGCCGTGGCTGCAGAGGCCCAGGCAGAGCCAACGAAACGACTAAACAGCTAACACTACCGTTCAAGAATTTATTTAAGCAGACATGGTTTTGTAATATCATTTATTGTATTAAAAGAGTCACCCAGTTAAAGCCTACCTTGTTGTTTCTTTTACTCCTAAGCAATCTTGCTATTGTGTCTCAGTGGTGGGTGTTTAAAGCTTAAACCCAGTTTCCCAAGCAGTTCAAAGACTAGATCTTGTGACAAACTCAGTCTTAAATTGCTGTGACCAAACAGTTGGTTTTTGGGGGGGGGGAGCCAGAGAGACTTTTTAGAGGGATCCTGTAGATGGTCCAGGGCTCTGGGAGGAATTTGAGAGGCATGTTCACTGTGAAAACCGTCTTTAGAATAAATGAAACTTGGCTGTATGGATGGTGGTGCTGTCATTGTTGTTTTTCTTAAGTGCCCTTGAATCAAAAAAGACTCTGAGCAACAGAGCACCAACCTCATCATCTCTGACACCCTTGAGCCCATCGCTGCAGCCACTGTGTCACTCTTATCTCTTGAGGATCTCCCTCACTTTGGCTCACCCTCCACCGTTCCAAGCACGATGTCCCTCTCCAGGGAACAGTCTCTCCTAACAACATGCCCACTATGTGTGAGATGAAGCTTCAACATCCTTGCAGCTAAAGAGCACTCTGGTTGCACTTTCTCCAAGATGTATCTGTTTGCAATTTAAAAAACAAAACAAAAACAAAAGACCCAATCCAGACTTTCTGCTAAGCCCCACCTCTGGCTCTTGAGAAAGAGTTTAGGAAAACTCTACCTCTGTTAAAAAAAGAAAGTGGGCCACTGTCTTCTATTTCCTCTCTCACTCCACATTTGTTGTTGTTGCAGCAAGATCGACTCCAGCTTCTAGGAATTCGTTTCTAGGAACTACTTGTACATTTTTGTAGCATCTCTTGCTCTCCTACTTCAGTTTACAAAAAAAGGCACCTAGCTATTCCTCTACATGGTGGTCCAGGGCATGATATAGAAGTGGTGAATCAGGAAGGGTGAAAGGAGAGGGCGCAAAAAGCATTTGGAGACACCCTTTCTCCTAGAAGTCAGTCTACCCAGGGCTCTACAGAGCTGTTTGTAGAGAGAGTATGAGAGCTCAAAGCTCCAGGTCTCCCCAGGTCCTCCTACAGCCCTCAAAGGAACCTGGGGCACAGGAGGCTTCCTGCTCTATTACCATTTGAGCACAAGCCCCCCGCCCCCGTTTGTCTCCAGGGTTAGCAGCTGATGAGGTCTGTCTCCAGGGGAGTCAGCCCCCTCCCACAGCCATGCCATTCTTCAGCAATTCACTTTCTCACTCCGGGACAGGTTATACCTCCAGCGCATCAGAGACCATGCAAAGCGGTTGGTTTCCTATCCGGGATGACAAGAGATACAACAGTCGCTTGGCAGATGGCTCCTCCACTCCATTGCTCCTGGAGTAGACGCGAAAACGTCACCCTCTGGCCCAATGCGGAAATAAGTTTTATGTCTCCAGTCCTAGGCTCCAGGGCAGCCTCACAGCTACTCGCTTCTTCCAGTGGCACAGTCCCAGAGCCACCTCGCCTAGCAGAGGTTTGGGGATGTGGCCCTGGCCCGGTAAAATGCGCTCCACCCATGGCGACCCTTGTCTCTCCATTCGGGAAGCACCACTCAACTTTGGGGCGCGCCCACATATCAACAAGGACAGCTTAAGGTGGTTTGAAGGGACAAATGAGGCTGGTGGCCTGACCCTCAGGGCAGCTCTTGGTCCTTTGCGTTCTCTCCACTTGGCCTCACATCTCTCCCCATTGGGAAAAGGGCCTCCAGCATTCTCACAAGCTTCCCCTCAGCCCTTCTCTCCCAGCCTCCCCTTATTCACCGTGTTCTTTTCGCTCCTGGGAATCCCCCTTAGCAGCCTGCGCAGGTCCCCAGCCTCTCGGCTGAATCAGTAGGCAGAGCTGCTGGGCAACAGGTCACAGCGCCCCCCGCTGTAGACCACCACGCCCGGTGGGTAATAGAGCAGGTCGGGCTCCGCGGCCGCGTGGAGCGGCGCCAGCGCCTGCAGCCCTTGCTCCTCGGGCTCGGGCTTGGTGGTGGCTGTGAAGGGGCGCATGCTAGTGAGGGAGGGCGACGCGATGCGCCACAGCAGGCTCTTGAGCGCCTTGCGGAACTCGCGGCGCACCAGGCAGTAGAGGACCGGGTTGAGACAGCTGTTGCAATGGGCCAGGCACACGCTCAGCGGGTGCGCGTACTGGTGGAAAAGGAAGTACTCGTTGCTGAAGGGCACGGCGTCGAACTTGATGAGGATGCCCCAGGCAGTGACCATCTGGTTAGGCAGCCAACACAGGAAGAAGGAGAGGACCACGATGGTCACAGACTTGGTGACTTTGGATCTCCTGCGGAGGCTGGCTTCACTCGGGCCTCTCCCGGGCGCCACGGTCCCACCTTGCACCCCCGCCACGCGGCGGTCGGAGATGAATCGCACCAGCAGCAGATAGCACAGGCTGATGATGCCCAGGGGCAGCACGAAGCCCAGCAGCACCTTCTGCGTGTGGTAGAGGCCCAGCCAGAACTGCCCGTCCCCAGGGCGCCTCTGGTCCGGGAAGCGCACCAGGCATAGCTCTTCGCCCAGCACCTTGGTGGTGGAGGCGAAGATGGCATTGGGCAACGAAGCCAGCGTGGCCAAGGCCCAGATCAGCGCGGACAGAGCCTTGGCGGAGAAGCAGCAGCTGTCCTCCAAACTGCGCTCGCAGCAGCCTCCCTGGCGGTGCCCTCCGGTCCGGTGGCTCTTGAGAGCCGAGGCCACCGAGTAGTAGCGCGTCACGCTCATGGCAGTAAGGAAGAAGACGCTGGCATACATGTTCAGGGACGACATAATGGACACTATCTTACACATGGCCTTGCCGAAGGGCCATTTGAAGTCAAGCGCGCTCTCCACCGCCCAGATGGGCAGCGTGAGGACGAACAGGAAATCTGTCAGCGCCAGGTTGGTGACAAAAAAGTTGATGGAGGACTTGCGCCACCCCTGCTTGCTCTTCATCAGGTAGAGCACCAGCAGGTTGCCCGCCAACCCCACGGCGCAAACCACGGAGTAGACCACAATGATGAGGATCCGCAGGCCCTCGCCGCTGCCCGCGCGCTCCGGCAACTCCAGCCCCAGTTCCCACCACCAGTCCTTGAGCAGCAGAGACGCGTTGCCACTCGCATTGGCCGCCGCTGGAAAGTCCGGGACCACTGTGAGGAAATCAGAGAGCTCGCCCCCGCCGGTCGCCTGGTTCATGGTGACCCACCGTGGCTGGAGCGCGGCGGCGGCCTCTCTAGGTCATGTTCCAGGGACCTAGACGCGAGGAAGTGTGGCTTTCCCGGAGTGCCGTTCCCGGGGAGAGGACGCGGGACGTGGAAGCCTCGAGAGCAGTTCCTCAATACAACGCCCCGGGATCCGGGGTGCCAAGCCCCCTGCTTGTCCAGCAAGCGCGTCCCGGGAGGGACGAGCGCACAGCAGAGTTCAGCGTTGCGCGCAGGAGCTGCGCTCAGGGTCTGCACGGGAAAGGAGTACAGCTGGTAAGGCGAGCTGCGTGCCGCTCTAGGAACTCTCAGGACGAGTTCTTTTTCGCACGATCCACACTCAAAGCCCCCTCCCGTTTCCCATTGTCATTTGGGCTCCAGTGCGCAACCCACCCGGCTCCTCAGGAGCACCATTCCGGCTCGCCCCTTCTCTTTTCAAATACCTTTGTCGGTTTCCTCTGCTGCCGCTTGGCTGAGATTTCAGTGCTGGAGAGGAAGAGTGATGGGTGCGTTTCGTCTACCGGAGCTCTGCTGGTGTCGCCCTCACTCTCTCATGTCGCCGTCTCTCCAGCGTCGTTAACTCCCAGTGAGTTGCTATCGGTTGCTCGCTGGAGTTATAATCGCATCTCCCAAAGCTCGGCGGCGGATTCCCAAGGAGCATGCGTGCCCACGGCGCCGGAGCGGGGGCGCTTTCCGAGGTGCTGAACCTGCCGCGCCCCGCGCCCGGAGGCGCAGCCGGGGCCCCAGGCAGAGTCCACCTGCTAATTAATTTCTCCTTCTCTCTTCAAAGTTTCACAAGGAAATGGTCTCAACCATTATTTGTATTCCTTCCCAGCTGGAGAAAATCGGCGGCTTTGAGTTCTGTCCTCTTTTCCTTTCTTATTCTCAAAACTATGATCAGAATCCTTTTTTCCTTCCACCTTTGCAATGTTTCTTTGAAATCTGTTCGATGTGATGAAAGCTGGTTCGGGAGATGTGCATTTCTGCCTCCTTTTTCTTTTTAAAAGCCACAAAGGTGCCCTCTCTTCAGTCCACAGACGCCTTCTCATCAGTGGGCAGACCCTGATCAGATGGAGAATATATAATTAAGGGATGCTGTGAGGGTCTCCACATAGTCACGTAAGAGAACTCTGCGTTTAATTGTTGCCTTCAGCGTCCCTGTGTTCTGAGAAGCGCAGAGAACAGTCTATTACTTGACACTTATTAAAGACCACTTGTCTAACCCAAGCTAATCAACGAGTTGATTCATGCCCTCCCTACACGCTCTTTACCTTGACCTAGAGGAATGCTTTTGTAATCCACTGTTAGTAGCATCAGAACTCTGTCCAATGAAAGTGTATTCTAAGAACTCATGCAGACTCTGTCTAGGCAATGGTACCAGGGAAAAAGTTTCCAATTGCAGACTATTTCAAGAAAAGATCAACTTCTCTGGCATAGATTACGCTCTGCAGGATGGAGTTGAAAATTTAGAAATGTTTTTCTCATAATCTGGGACTCCATTGAAGCAGAAGTACTGTAAGAGTACTGTAAGCACGTTTGTCCCCACTCTTGGGTTGTTCTGGTGTTCTAGTGGTAAGGCATTGTACTGCTAACTCAAAGGTATACGGTTCAAATACACCAGGTGCTTCATGGAGGAAGAGGAAAATTCTCCTCCAGTGCAATTTACAGCCTCTGAGAACTCACTGGAGTGACTCAGATCCGAGTCAACAACATATGACAACTGTATTGATAGAGATTTCTGTAGCTTTATGCACAGAAGTGG